AAAAAGTAAATATTAAATAGGGTCAATGCAAATAAAGCAAAGGCAAATAAATAAATCCGGTTGGCAAAAATAAAATGGGTTCCGTGGAAAGAATTTAAAATATGGCAAACATTTACAAAATGCATATTAATGATTAAAAACTGCAGATAAATCGGCGTAATTAAAACAATTAAGATTCTGATTTCTTCAATATTCAAAAAATGATTACAAATATTTTATCTGCGTATAAAAATATATACTTGAATTCTATCATATTCATTGACCTTTAATTTTACATCATTAGTACTAAAGATACTTAGTTAACTATTTTGCTGTTTGCATTCGCAGAAACATATTAATCATGCCACTGTAATGAATTTATTCTATGCAAAAAGTTTGTTAGTTCAACAAAAGCTTTAAACTTGGCCGCGATAATTGTGCGGAGGCAATGGACCCCAGACCACAGCTAAATCCCGGGAAAAATAGTGGGATCCCCACTCCGCCGTTGCCAATTACTAGGCAAAAACCAGCCACAACAATGTTAGATGCTTAAAATGTCGACGAAGCGCACATTAGGCTTAATTATAAGCAAGCAGACACAAACGAAGCGCTTGAACATTACCCAAAACCAAAACAACACGTATACGCCCCCGATGTCCGGGAAAGGACATTGTTGCTGCCGGAATAGTTGTTGTTATTACAGTCCTTTGTGGTGGCCAGAAAACTTCACTTGCATAACTCACAGACGAAGTGAAATGACCGAAGGACATGGCAAAGTTTTGGCCTTTAATTTCGGGCGCTGCAACGGTCACACTGGTCAGCATGCAACCGTGTGAGTGCCAGTGTGGACAACCTTGGCTTTATATCTTTTTATCTCTTTTGTTTTTTATTTTTAGAAATTATTAAAAATCAAATATTAATTTATTGTCTCAATAATACACATTTCAGATTAAAACAAGAGAGAACGCTATAGTCGGGTTGGTGTCCCGACTATCTAATACCCGTCACTCAGCTAAAAGAAGTGCGAACGCGGGTTGGTGTCCCGACTAATAATAGTAACTCAGCTAAAGGGAGTGCGAGGGAGATAGATATATGTAGATATTTTGAATGCGTATAACTTTTTAATGAATGGTCCGATTTGAAAAATGTCTTCTACATTTCGATAGGTATAAATATACACAACAAAATTGCATTTATACTTTTCGAAAATCTTTAAAGATGTGGGCGCAGGACCCATTTTAAAATCGTTAGTGGGCGATTGTGGGCGTTAGAGGGGGCGTGGCGCTCGGCTAAAATAAACTTGCGCTGCGTAGGAAGCCAAAGAATATGTGTGGAAAATCTCAACCTTCTAGCTTTTGTAGTTTCTGAGATCTCATACAGACGGACAGACGGACAGACGGACAGACAGACAGACAGACAGACAGACAGACAGACAGACAGACAGACAGACAGACAGACAGACAGACAGACGGACATGGCTAGATCGACTCGGCTAGTGCCCCTGATCAAGAATATATATACTTTATGGGGTCGGAAACGCTTCCTTCTAGCTGTTACATACTTTTGCACGAATCTAATATACCCTTTTACTCTACGAGTAACGGGTATAAATATTTCGAATACATATCATGTGCCGTATGATATCACATTTCAAACCATAATGGTACTAAGCTTGTACTTTTTTAGTCTGGCTATTTTTCCTAACCCATAGTCGGCCAACACTGGCGAATATGTGTGGGGCAGACGTGCGTTTGGCACTTGTTGTTATTGCTGGAAAACTTTGGCAGAATTTCCCACCATCTGGGCTGCATCTGCATCCTGTGCGGTTTGCATGCTGTTGTCGTTGTTGTCCAAACAACTTTCCACTTCCCTCTAATTCCCCAATCGTCCACCATTCTTTCCTCGCCCTCGTTGTTTGTGGCTCATTAAAGCATTAATCATAAGATGGCGGAACGATATTTGGTTTGCTTGTATACACAGCTATGCGGTGCCGTCCCGGGTCACGATTGTACAACTTTAATGGCATCACGTCGGCCATCTCAATTTCTTTCACTTGGTTAGCTTAAATATGAGAGCAAACTTTGCACACATACTTAGGCACATACACTGCGATGTGGGATGGTGGATAGGTTTATCTTTATGGAATGAAAGAGTGCGAGATATAAAACTTTTATAGATTAAGTCATCAGCATGCTAGATTATTTTTGTAAAATTTAATTAAGATATTAATTGCTCAGATATTTACAAATGGCAATGAATTCTTGAACTTAAATTAAAACGGCTTATAGTCCTTAGAAAATAAGTAGTTTCAATGAAGAAAATTAAAGAAAACTAATATAAAATAAACATAACAATTTTTGTTATTTATTATTATTTATTTATTTTGGCCTAGAGTATTCAGTAGCCATTTTTTTCATCCGCAGGACCTTCTTTCTTATTTGTGGCATACTTTTGTGTGGCCGCCAAGCTAATTGTTTCGAAGCTTGTTGCTCGCCTGGCCCATAATTCTTAAATGCTTTATTACTCAAACACAAACCCCCACTTGGCCACACCCCAGCTCACACACAATCTCGCAAATTGGCCCAGAGCAACGTCGACAGTAATAAAAATTAAATAAAACGCATTCGCTTCCTACAAATTTCTTAATGTTTACTTGCCTGTTTGTCCTGGGCACATATGTGTGAGTTTGTCATTCTGTTGCGGTATTTTTTTTTTTTTCTTTCATTTTGTTTGTTATTTTTTGTTTGTTGCTTTGTGCACTGCTGTGGTTTGTTTTTCTTTTTACGCCCTCCCTTTGTCATTTCCTTTCGGTTGGGGGAGTTGGGCGAGGGGCGTGTCGCCCCCACGGGACTTGACATTTATAGCTGGGGCATTAAAAGTCAAGAGTGGCAAATGGGGGAGGAGTTTCTGGGGGGATTGAGGTCACACGTCGGGGTTCACGTGGCTCGGGGTTTTAAGGCTCACTCACTTACGGCTCGTTCAGGGTAAGTAGCACACAAAATAGACACGGCAATATATAAATATTGTTCATCTTCAGGGGCCATTAATTATAATTAAGTAATATTATATTTTTGATATTAAAAGAAAAATGGGTGATGGTAACAATAAGTTTAAATTTCGATTGTAAAGGTTACCCTAATTATAAATAGGGGCCTAAGAATATTTAAGAATAATGCAATACATTTAATTATTAGAATGTATAACAATACCGAGCTGCGTTACGCAAAGCTCAAGTAACTTCGAAATGCTCTTGACTCTTCGATTGCAGATATGCTCTGATTATTTCTTGTGACATAATTAGCTTTGGCGATATAAATCTTCATATGCGTATGTTCGTGCCTCGTGTTAATTAATACACAAATGCAACTTTTAATTGAAATTAACCTGAGTGGAAATTGAAATCGGCCATGCTGGTTTGCACAGACACATATCCGTACAGGGTTCAAATTGCAATACATAAATCACAAAATAATCAGACATTTACGGCCAGAGTTTGGTGTATTATATATGCGACAGGGTGTATTTGGGGAGGGAGATGTCAATCTCGCAAGCCAATTGTCAATTACCGAAATCCCGCAAATATTTCCTTTACCGCTGGTCGGGGGAGCAAAAATCCTATCCAAATGCGAAACTTTACCGCTCGATTGCATAAATACTTAAAATTGCATGCGAACAGGGCGGCCCACTTTGCGCGCCCCCTCGAAATTGCACAGAATTACAGAATCGTGGTGTGTGCAATGAAAATTGATTTATCACGCACACAGCATTTACGGTCACGCATCCAACATAAATTTTCATTCACTACCATTTCGGAAGCAACGGCTGCCGCATTGTTTTTCCTGGTGTATATCTGAGGCGCTGGAAAATTGTTTTGTACGCAGCATAAATTGCAATTTCATACAGAAACCACTGGGCTTTAGCCGATGCCGATCCGTACACCCATATGCGCATAGGTGTAGGCGATGCTTTCGGTGTAAAAAAATAAATATAACTGGATGTTATTGTAAATAACAATGAAATTGGCATTGCAAGGGGTGGCAAAAGCCAACGATATGAGTATTTACAAGTACTTTGCGGTTACGTCTGGTTGTTAAAAGCATAAATAATAGGCTTGTCTTTAAATAGTGGCTTTGTCTTCTAAAGAAATTTGTAACTGTTCTGGCTGAAGAAATATAAAATCAATTAACATAATTATATTATAACTATTAATTCTATATTTGGAAGGAACAGTCCTGAAATATTATAATCTCAATTAAAATTTATAGAAATTCAGACGGATAGCAAAAACCTTTATTCGCTCATCATTGAACATATATTGCTGAATAGCCCGTAATAAATTGCAAAATGAGGAATGTCACGCAGTTGACCCAGTGACAGAAAATGAACAGCAACAATGGGCATTGTAATGGGCACACAAACGGTAGAGATTTGCATGCCGAAAATTCATTAGCACTTTAACAATGTCAATTTATGTTATACACATTATGGCCGATGCCACGCCCAACTGGCAAAGATTACCGCCCCCCGAAATTCAGTTTGCCCTACCCATATATACGGATATTAGATTACAGAGCCGACGTAATTATTGCTTCCTGAGGTAGCAATGTGCATTGCAAAACACATTTTAGATTGATGTTTGACTGTGAGTGTATCAATTGGCAATTACGATTCACTTAAATGATTCATTCATAAGCGCCGCTTAACTGGAAATTCAAGCGAATTTTGGTTGGCGTGTAAATCACAGGGTAAGGGAAATAGAAGATACCTCTCAATGGGCACTTTTCAGCGGACCTTTCTGGGCGAAATGTCTCCCAAGACACCACTAAACAAATTAGCGTTAATTTAATGACAGACATTACCGCCCCGTTCTCGCCGTCTGGCAGGATTTATAGGCTCCCATAATAGATGACAGAAGGTTCGGTGTTCCTTTTCCTTTTCCACTGCCACTGCCATTGCCTTGCCTCAAGAAGTGTCCAAGGCAGACCATAAATTCCATTTGATTTTCCTCCAAAAACTCCAACCTGCAATGTCAGCACCAACTGTTGCGTGGGCGTGGCATGCTGTTGAATGGCAATGATGGTGACGATAATAAACTTGTCGCAAGGAATTTCCGATGCGACGGTAAAACAGCCGGTGGAATTTTCCATTTAAAGGTGCCCACTGAGCAGCGTTGAATGGAAAATTTAAATGGATCGATTTGGAGCTTTACAAATATTCACGCTAATGTATATATTAAAAAACAAAATATAAAATAAACTATGTCTGTCAAACACAAAAAACGCTTTCGTGGGTAAACAAATTAAAAAAATGTGTGGTATGACGCAAATTATTGACAGCGGATATAGCTTCCGACTAAAAAAAACAGTTATCTGCCATCAAAATTGTGGGGCTATTGATTGCCTGGTTTTCAGCACAAACAACGAAAATACATTAATTCGCACTAAAAAATTTTAAAATTTTAACATTTTTTAAAATTTTGTAAAGGGTTGAATTGCTTGTACATATAAAATTTATTTAAAAAAATATAAATATTATTTAAACAAATATTTTTGTGTGCATTTGGTAAACTTTAAGTATTAATTTAATAATAATGATTTAATATGATTCTGTAAGCCTTAGATAAAATATAAACCTAACCTTTAGATCCATAAGCCAATAATTTTAGACTGATGGCAATTTTCATATAGATTTCATTCACTTTGTAGAATATTTGAGAGGATTTTCTACCCGCCCCGCAAAAAGTGGTATCAAATGCTGCATCTCCCTCGACTTGTAAATAATAAATCTGTTGCAATTCTTCGGACAGACAAGCGAGCGGGGGGCAACATTCCTAGACAGGATGGCTGCATTTTAGATGCTGCTCCCGGATGCTTTGCCTGATGTTCTACTTAAAAATCGTGACTTGGCTACCGTATTCATATGTTTGACATGCATATATTAAAGTTTGCCTGGCAGCTAGCAAATATAATAACAAACAAAAAAAAGGCGAACTAGGAAAATTGAAATTTCTGCTAACTTTGAGTGCGAAATATTATTTTTTTAGAATAACATGTACGTATACAAGGGTGAAATATGGAAGTTTTTGAAAGCATTTTTTGCCCAGGTGTGCACAAAAATTGTTCGCACCTTTTCAGTTGCTTTGGCAGTTCCTGAGTTGGGCAGAGAGTTTTCTGCTCAGCTGACAGGGCAAAACCATCCACAAATTCCTATTTGTTTGCCAGCGCTGTTCTGCTCTGTTCTGTTGTACATAAGTTGTGCTTCCCCTTTTACAGAAAACTTTTTGCATACAACTAATGTGCACTTCCGCTTTTTGCGCGCGCCATTTTCTTTTCGGCATCAACTTCTCCACTTCCGTATCCTTACCACTCAGCGTGGACAGAAAAGAGGGACAGGGAAAAGTCCTTGCAGCAGGACCAAAAAATATGTGTTGTGTACGATATTATTTTGTTCTTCGAACTTTTGTTCGCCAAGAAAGGTAACACAGGGAGTTTGGATCTGAAAGTCCCGGATGAGTGCAGGGATGCATGTATTTATTGGCAAAGTTTTCGAGGCCCTCGAGGGACTTTACTCGGCTGGCCAAAGAGTTCAATCCGCATTGTGCTGGGAAAAATTTTAGCTTTTCAAGAAATGTTCAAGAATTCGCCTTCTTATTAATCGTACAATGTGCTAATGTGTAAAAGTAGGCCAACATAAGAAGTAACTCCACGGAAAGAAATACACTGAATCTGAAACAAACCACACGGAAAATAATAATAATACAAAGCATGTGAATCATTTAGGGCCGGTTTCTCGAGTCCCTGTCAAAGTCCCTGATAGCTATCTGTTCGAAAAACTTAAATACCAGATAAACTGTTCGTAAAAGCAAATCCGCTTTCTCGACTGCTTTAATTTATCTGAACGAGAAACAATTACAGAGTGCTGTTAACGCACAGAATTGTGCTGTGAAGGGCAAAAAATGGCGTGTTTCGATTATTTCATCAGCTGTTTGGGTATAATTCAAAGGAAAAGTCAGCTGTGATTTCGTTTCTTATTCTTAGTTGGCTTTGGGAAATCAGCTGTCATTCTATCGAGTTGAAAACGCTTAACAGGGGCTCCGAGTCCCTGTCAAAGTTATCTCTCACATTGTTGCTCGAGAAAGCCAAAATGCCTTAGCAGGGACTTTATCTGTTCGAGAAATGTTAGCCGGCACTCGAGAAACCGGCACATAAAAGCGAAAACCTGTATGAATTAAAATTATTACTTTCACTCATTATTATTTGAATACTAATATTTCTGTTTTCTTTCATTTATTTTCAAATTCAAAAACAAATTTTACCCAAAGCCTTAAGTGGTTTAAAATAGTAGTTTCAATAAGTAATAATTTATTTAATTAATTTTAAAATAAAGCTGTCAAATATTCCAGTCAAGGCAAAAAAAGCCTTGAAAAAAGACCACAGTTTAAGTCAGTGGGAAATAATTGCTGGCTGGAAAACAAATCTACCCCATGGGTGCTCTGAACAGAGTGTTTTTCCCGCCGCCTGGCCAGAAGTGCAGTTGATGGCCCAAGGAGCGTATAAATGAACCCCGTACAGAGACAATCCCTATATCTGTGCCTTCATGGCCATGCAGTGCGAGTATATATCTCCGCACCCGGTCCGTTGGACATGTTAAACAAAACAATCAAGACACTCGCTCAATGGGGAATGGACTCCTCTCTGTGTGGTTAGTCAATAAAAATACTGCCCAAATGGAATTAACACGCACTCGACCAGATCACCAGCTGCTGCAAACGAATCTCAGGTTTGCATTCCGCCGCCACGCCCCCCGCCCACAGAATATCCAGACTATATCCTACTGCAAGTCCTCTCTGCATTGTCGCAAAACACTTTGTCTCACTTAATTTTTTGCTCGTCTATTTTTGCTTTCTTTCATTTTATTTTTTGCTCCGATTTTCCCTGGCACTGGTTTTTTCATTTGGACGTTTTTTGGTTTTACTGCCTGCTGTTGCGATGCGGCAAACAATTTCAATTTAAATTGCCAGCTTTGCTTACCTTTTTGCCATGCTCTGGGCACACTTATCAGTGTCAATAAAAGTCCTGGGGGACAACTCTGGCCAAAAGGAACTGGCCAAAACGAGTAGCCAAAGAAACGGCAGGCAGCGGCAAAGACAGATGTGACGCATCCAACGGGTCCAGAAAAAAAGTGCAAGTCGCAGCAGATAGAGGAGTGCCATGGGTGATGGTGTGGCAACCAATATTTAGCCCCTGACTGGCACATGCATTTCGGCCCAACTGGGGCTTGAAGTGACCAAAGCGCAATTTGAAGCATTTTTCTTTAAGACTGTTATTGTGTGAGGTTTAAGTTGGAAACTCAAATAATGATCTGTAGGAAACAATAAACAAAAGTGTTAATAAAATCTGAAAGCGCTTGAAATTATTTTTAAAATGTACAAATATTTGCTGTAAAAGATTCCATAATTTAATTTTTATTTAATCTATATTTATAAATACGGCATCACATGAATACAGTGAGTTCATCTAGATGAGAACAAAAAGCGTGGTAATAATGCTAATCGCATTTTGTATGAGTATTCCTAAGCCAAGAAATATATTTTTGCTCTCCTGTTAATTTCTCTGTTTTTACTCCGCTGGCACAAAACCATTATTGTAGTGGGTGGTCCTGGATGGAATATGTGTGGGTAATATAGGTGGATGTTCTCGTACACTCAAAAAATTTTTTTTCCTAAATTTTAGAAAATCGCCATAAAATGCAATTTTTTCTTAATTTTAGAAAATTTTCTGAATTTTAGAAATTGTTTTCTTGAATCTAGGAAAAAAGACCATAAAAACAAAATTTTATGAAAAACCTTTCTAAAATTTAGAAAAATGATTTTTTTTCTTAAATCAATGGTGTTTTTTCCTAGTTTGCTCTCCAAAAGTTTTCTTAAATTAATGGCGATTTCGCCATTAAATTAAGAAAATGTGTACTTCAGCCCTTCCTAGAATCTAGAAAGTCGCCATAAAATTTACGGTAAATTTTTCTAAATTTTACAAATTTTTTTGAATTAAAAAAATTTTTTTCTTGAAAACAGAAAAGTAGAATTAGAAAATCACCATAGATTTAAGAAAAACTTTTTGTATTTCTTTTGTGCTTCTCATTCTTTCTTCGAAACGAAAAAGAAGAAGACAGGGGGTTAGTCGGCGGCGCGTTGCGACGACAGTTTTTGGCGTATGTATGTATATGTTTATGTGTGTTTGTGCGTATGATCGAGAATTTTCTTGTGCGTAGCTGTAACTTTTATTGCGTTGTTGTTTTGGAAATGCAGTCTCTCGCGAGAGAGTTGCTTGCGTTGCGCTGCATTTTGAACCCTTGTGCTCAGTTTTGGATGAGCATTCAAAGTAATAAGTTTGTGTTGAGCCTATTTAAGAAAGTTAAAGTGCGATCCCTCTAAGAGGCAATTAATAGGTAAGCAATTTAAATAAATTTAAATATAAATTTGGTAAGTGTGTGAAAATTTATGGTAAGCAAAGGGCATACTGTTGCAGGCCGCAAATACCATCCTTCTCTAATATTAATTTTTATTTTCGATTGCAGGAATAATTTCAATTTCAGGTATTGTTGATAATTTGGCAGTAAGTAAGTAAATTTTAATAATAGGTAATATATAAAATACCTACTTAATATTAATATTAATAATATTTTATCTTTTTTGTTTTCTTTTCTCTTTTTTGTTTAGGAAATATTTATAATGTAATTTTTATCTTTTTTTGTTTTCCTTTCTCTTTTTTCTTTAGGAAATATTTATTATCTTATTTTTTACCTTTTTTTTTGTCTTTTCCTTTTTTGTTTAGGAAATATTAATAATTTTCTTTTTATCTTTTTTATTTTCTTTTCTCTTTCTTGTTTAGGAAATAAAATAGTAAAATAAATATGTATACATTTTATTAAAATAAAGAAAATTTTATTTTAAGAAAAAAAATTCTATTTTCAAGAAAAGTACTTTCTGGATTTAAGGAAATTTTCGCAAATTTTATGGCAATTTTTCTTGATTTTAGAAAAGTATTTCTGCTTTTCAGAAATTTTTTTCTAAATTTTAGAAAATTCCTTTCTAAAAAATACGGTAAATCGCCATCGACTGAAATTCATGGCGAATTTCTTGATTTAATGG